ATATATATATATATATATATATGTATATATATGTATATATAGATTCTTAAAAATATAAATTATGTGTATTTTGAGATTATATATATATAATAAAAATATATTGTTTTTATTATATATTGTATTTATTATATAGTCTTTCTTATTAGTGTACATTTTGTTACATATTGCAATGTTCTTCACATTATAATATGCAACGTAATAATATGATACATTTAAAAATAATAATTCTTTTTAAGTGTTTCATTTTTGATAAATAATCCTTTTCTTACAAATTACCATGTTTATTAATATTTGAAACAACGATTCCAATGTCGTGTATCGATGAAAAACATTGGACCGTGTTTACTTTTTCTCGTATACACATAGTCCTCCCTAATGTTTACATTCCACCGCGAGCCGTGCTATTAGTTTCGCCTACGTTCAGTTGAACTTTGACGATTGACGCCAACACGTGTTATTAACTGTTTATATATACAAACGACGAATATTTCCAAATCGTCGCGATTCCGAATAAAAGAAAAAAGAAAATGACTGAAAGATGCAACAACGCGATCTAATCGAATGCACTTTCTACTTACAAATTATCATCAAACCGATGACACAACCGAGAAATAGAGTATTTTAAAAATAAAGAATTTTCGGAGCCCACACGATATTATCTCTTAACAACGAAACCTCGATTTGACGAACGTTGTTTCACTTTTTTCATTAACTTATTTTTACACTTCGAATTACCCATCCATCCCCTCCTTGTTCGATCATACCAATCCGTCTTGTTCAAATTATAAATGATATTTCAAATCTATTTTATTATTAGAAACTTGAAATAATTTTTTTCAATAGAATTTTACCAGATCGAATAGTTTGATCGAACGTTGACTTTTTATTACTTCTTTACCATTTTTATGTTATTTTTGTATTATTTTTGCTCATTATTTTTTTGAATTCTATTGAATGAATATACACATCTTTTATATTTGATAATGAATTTGTTGATAGTAGATGTTTAAATATTATTATTATTATTATTATTATTATTATTATTATTATTATTATTATTATTATTATTAATGTTAATTAAAGATATATGATTGATAATTTACCCCATGTTGAACACTGTAACGACACCGAGCAGCATGACCAGAACACACACAACGTCCACCAATATTGATTTCCTTGATCGAATAATATGCTCTTCTTTTATCAGCAATAACAACACCGTTTCTACGAAGACCTTGTAAACGAAGTCTGACGTATCTTGCTTGTGTAAATTCTAAAAGTGTTGTACTATGATTCAAGGCACCAGGTCTACCATTCACCAGATGTGTATGGATCTAAAACACCAAATATGAACATGATTAATAACACACACACATAACAACAAAAAATAAAGTATCAATAATGATCGAGACTAAAGAAGTAGAAATATTAAAAAAAAAAAAAAAAAAATAGAGAAGGAAAATTGTAGAAAATATTGCACAATTAATTGAGGTTAATTATTAATACATTGAGATTAATAAATTATAGGTTTCTGTGAGAATGTGTGTATATGTATATGTGAAGTATGTATCTTTTAGAAAGTATTAAATTCGATGTCACAAGGAAGAAATAAATCATCCGTGAATGGCGCCGGTAAAACCGAGTTGAGAACGTCGTCGTCGTCCTCCGCAAATGGGCTTATGCGGTTCCTAATATAGAACAATCAGTTATAATTCGGGATAATAGGTTCACCTAAGAGCTTTCTCTCTTTCTTTCTCTTTCTTTCTTTTTGTTTTTTCCCTTTTGTTTATTATCGTAAACAATAGTTCGAATAAAAAATCAATACTTTTTTTCTATCATATATAAAATTCAAACGAAATTGACCTAATTCGATAATTCAATAATTAGTTAAACCTTTTGCATTACTATTTATTATTTATTCAATTTTTTGTATCTGATAATTAACATTTATTTCTAATATTATTAATAAGAATTATTAGAAAAATGTTACAAACATTTTCAAAGCTTTTATAAATATTTAATTTAAAATTTATACTTTAACAATTTGATCAGTTTGATAGGAGTAAGATGAAACTATAGAATTTTTGTTTAGGATTGCAGAAGGTTAAGAATTAATAATTATAATAATGATAAATAAATTATATTTAAAATATTATCAGATAAACATATATATATATTTATAGTTTTAAAAAAATTATTATATTTGTATTTTATTAGAAAAAAAAACTTAATAATAAAATAATTACTTTCATAATTATAAAATATTATATATATATTATTTTTTAAACAATCGTATAAAATTACAAATAATCTTGCAAAACATATAATAATAATACGAAAAAATAGAAGACATTAATTTTTACGTTAAATAATTGAATGAAATAAACGACCTATAAATATAACTATTACAAAAATATAATAAGCATGGTTTTGTTTTAATTTTTTTTTTTTATTGTTTTTGACAATTTATTTAATGAACGATCATCTTTCTTGGAAGATCTTGTGATGGACAATTAAAGTTCGCGAAGTAGAAAGGATCGGGTTGTTAGATGGCTTTCGTGCAAACGTTAAACGAGATGAGAGAGAAAAGAGAGAGAAAACGAAGGAATCTCTTTCTTGAAAAGGGGGTGAGGAGAATGAAGAGAATAAGAAGATGGAAGTAAGGGGGTGGGGAGGGATAGGGGGAGCTAAGGATCGATGGTACAAAAACGGCGATCCCTACATTCCGGCCATGTATGGTGCTGAGTGACCATATATGGACGTTTGAATGCACACTGCACCTTCTTCTAAGGGGGTGAAGTCTAAAGAAAGAAAAGGGTGTTTGTTTGCTATACGTTTGTTAGTTTTCTTTATTTTTTCTATTTTCATTTGTCTTTTTTTACCTGTTAACTCGAAACATTCAACATGATCCTCTTTCAACCCTACCCTCCCCTAAACTATAACCTCCTCACAAAATCAAGTAAAAAAAAAAATAATAATTCAAGTATGTATCTAATTAATGGGTCAATTAATGTATGGGGAAAAAAAGATTTAATTTATATGCTAGTTTTGAAAATATAAAAATATCTAAAAATTATCTTACAATAAAGGTGTTATAAAATTCTAAACGTTTGATACAGAATTTCATAATTTAAATATATAAGTAAAAAATATTAAGAATAATAAAAAAAAATAGATTTTAGAATTATCTAGAATCAATGAAATAAATTGCTAATAAATATTAGGATATATATTTGGTTATGAAGCAAATGATATATATATATAATGTACAGTTATTTTAAACGTTAGTTTAAATGTTATTGTTATAAAATTTAAAAATATATAAGCAAGTTGTTTCGAAAAAAAAATAGATATATATTTTAAATATATTGTTATTTAAATATATTATTATTTTATTATAATTTTTATAAATAATTAATATATAATAATTATAAAAGAAAAGAAAATGAATGTAGAACTAACGGCTATGGTTCGAGTGTAATTATATAAAATTATTCTATCGATTTATCATAAGAAAAATCTAGTTGTGATGAATTCTCATGAACGGAAATTCATTCTCGGTGTTTTAACAAAATAAAGAAGAAGAAAAATAAGAAGAAGATAGTTCGAATTAACGACGATATACAAACCACTGTTACTCTTCTTCACTGGTGTGTAACGCCGAGATCGCGAGCCTGCTAATCATCCAATCGCGTAATTATATGACCGGCAGTGTACGTCGAACGATAATTAACGATCGACCACACCGCGACGGAATAACGGATCATTTCTCGCTTTCTATGTATACACATAAAACTCATAAACATACACACATTATATATATAGATATATAAATACAACTATCGGTCTTTATCTTTAATTTTCTTCTCTTAGATTTTTGTCCTAACGAGTTTGATAAAACGATGGCAATGACCATCGTTCTGAATAAAATCGTGAAAATAATTAAACACGCGTGTGTTTCGCATATTTAGAAATATTATTGTGATATACTTATTGTAATTAAATGCTAATTAGAGTCCTTTGATTTATATTTTCCATTTGATATTTGGATGTGAATTATTTTCATTTGCTAATGGATATAAGTATTTATGTGTGTCTGTATCTGTGTGTGTGTGTGTGTGTGTGATGATTAGGAAATTGAACCAAAAAAGAAACAACAACAATTCAGAATTTTAATCCGATCTTAAAAAATGTGATTTTCATTGAAAAATTTCACACATGCACACACACATTGAGTATAATAATGTAATAAATAAAATTATGAGAAAAATTTAATATAAATTCGTATATAATTCGTGATATTTATATATTTTGGTCTGAATGTAAAATTTACGTTTAATAATTTTAAATAAATTTTGTTAATTATAAATAAAATTAGATTAGATTATTGACGCGTGTATTTAGAGATTTAAAAATTAGGTGATTGATTATGAGATCGATCGATATAATATAATATTTTAGAATAATTTTTTTTTTATTTAAGGAAATTGATGAGCGTTGAATGAAAGAAAACAAAAAAAAATTGAATGATTTTTCGATGATGATTAAAAACGTACTTCACCGTTTTCCATAGGCGTAGACCTGGAGTAAATGCTCGTACAAATGACTTCATCGTCGCTTATGTAAACCGGCTTACCAGGCACAGGTGGTGCCGAATATCTCGTCCAACATTCCTCGTCACTCGGTGCATAATACTGCCAGGGTTCAAAGTTCACGTTGTCTATCGATCTCTCGAGTATCCAAGCTGCTGGTCTTGGCGAATTCGCAGCTTTCACGATCACGTATTCAATTTGATAAACCTGCAACAAATATCGATTAGACAAATTTCAATAATCATTTTCCCATAAAGAAAAAATTAGATAATTTTTTATCTTCAATTTTATTTCAATCAATTAATAATTAACGATTAATAATTCAATATTATTAATTATTAATAATCATTTATTTTATATATTATAGAAACCATTAATATCCATCCTATTTCATTCGTGTTGAAATGAAAAAAAAAATGAAAAAAAGATTTCCAATAATAATACAAATGTAATATAAAATAGATGAGTTAAAAAAAATAACGTAAGAAAATTTGCTGATACAGGTTGAAGCAGAAAAAGATGGAATATGATCGAAGACAAAATTCACTCTTAAGATCCTTGATAGTCTTTTTTTGTTTGTTTGTTAAAAGTTTAATCTTTGTTTGTTAGATTTTGTCATTGTCCTAGTAGTATTAGTAGTAGTAGTAGTAGTTTGTTGTCGTAGTTGTCACACCAGAATTGTGAGAGAGAAAGAGAGAGACCAAGTAGACGCCCACTTTCGGACCATAAAGACAGATCGCATGTTCGCGATACCAAGAGAACCCGGCTACGTTTCCTTCTAAGGACTTCGTCCGGAACGTCTCGTTGCGAGTCCCGAGGAAGCCAACTTCAATTATCCGGACTCCCTTTCGCTTACGTACCCACGTTTACTCGCGTATTTGTATCGATTCGATATTTATCTTTTGCAACTTTCCACACATACAAATATATATACTTGTACACGTATAGTATATTTTTTATTTTTTTTGGGCTAGTATTTCATACACCCCTGCAAAAATATCTTTTTTATTGTTATTATTATTTATTTCTTTTTACTTACTTTATTTCTTCATTCTTCTTTATTTTTTTTTTTTTCTACGTAAGGAATGAATAGGATTTTACATATATGATTGCTTGTTAGAGAATAAATCATATTCTTATTGTTAATATTTATTTATCGACGCGTCTATTTATTTTAATATTTTATTCATATTTTTGTAAGGCTTGGTTTTTATATTACATTCTGTGTATTTATGTGTGAATATATTAGAATACTTCGGGTGTTTCAATTTTTTTTTTGTACAAATTGAAAAATAACCGAGACATCCTATACGTACGTAAAGTATAATTATTTTTTGAAAAATTGAAATAGAATTTTTGTAATAATTACATGATATGAATAAAAAAATAATTAAATACACATTTATTAAATATAAATTGAAAAAAGAAAAAATTATATTTCACGAAGTTAACGTATGAACTAACGTGAACGTCAACATAGATCATTCTGATGTATAATTTATTCTAAATATTATTACACGTTTCATCGCATAAATCTAATATATCTTTTCACGAGTAAGTTAATCACAGCAAGACTCGAAAGAGAGAGAGAAAGAGAGAGAGAGAGAGATGATATTCTCGAGAAAGTTTAGAAACATACCATCTGTTTCTATCACTTAACAGTTGCGTTCTCTCAAAAAAGATCAAATATTTATCTCAAGGTTATTCCGTATGTTTTTTAACTTATCTTGTAAAACAAACTATTCCTGTGATACGTAAGGAGATAATAAAGGTCAAGTTCTTCCAAAAAAATTCTACCTTTTATATAAACTTTTTTTTGTCCATTTTCCGTAAATTCGTAATTTTATAATATGAACAATTTTCATCAAAAAATTTCACAATTATTTTCTATCATTGTGATTAACACAAAATTTATCGTTTTAAATTTAAAGACGAGTTTTTTTTTCTTATCAAAACTGGCATACTTCGAAAGAAATAATCAGCCCTTTTTTTCCTTCTTGTTTTTCTCTCTCTCTTTCTTTATGTGTAAGTATAGATATGTATGTACATATGTGTGTGTGTGTGTGTATGTCGTACATTCTTAGGAGAAGTATAGTTAGTCTCGTCAGGAATCGACCTAGAAGAAGGCTCCCACGATCGAGAGAGGCGACTCTTAGTCGCCTTCAACTCGTGCAGCCTTGTAAGGGCGCGTCCAGTATTAGCATCGTATGACAGAAATGGCTTTATAGTCGAGTATTAAACGATCGATCGTTCGATTTATCGATTAACAACAACAACCATCAAAATAAAACAAAAAAGATATCTATAATTCTTCTCTTATTTCATTCAAAGTTTTAATCAATTTATTCAATTATGTCAAATAATTATTATACAAAAGTTTCTAATCCATATTTTGTATTATGTTCATCTATGTGTTTAATATTTTATTTATTTCGTTATTCACAAATTTAATAAAATAATTATTATACAAACAACAACAACAACAAAATCGTAATCGTCATATTTTAATACGGAATTTAATTCATTTTTATTTTATCTGGTTAATTAATTTTTATTTATAAACTTTGAATATATTTGTTTAATGAAATGAATTGTTAATTAAATTGGTTTAAATTACGATGAATAATTACAAGTAATGAGAAGAAATGGCATTAGATTTAATTAAAATTCTAATGACACGACTAATTGCAGTTGTATTAAAGAGTTAGAAGAATCGTATAAGTATCAAGAGAAGTAGTTCTTTACGTAAACCGTCTGGCAACACTTTCCAGCCCTGAGAAACGAGTCCCTGAGATTCAACAGGGACACTTGGAGAACCTTAACGGCTTCAGGAACCGGCCGGCCGGTAAATTTTCTTGCCGCTTTCTACCTTCTCCACACACGCACCCCATTTACGGATCTTACCAGATACCGTGCAATGCCAATTTATTAGTACTGCCCTTTTCTCTTTAAGCAAGTTCTTAAGGGTATTTTGGATTACCGTCCTTTAAAGGGATGATCCTTTATTTCATTTTATTATCTTCATTCTTTTCTTTTTAACAAATTATTTTCATATCAAAAAATTATGACTTAATCGTTCGTGGTTGAAACGTTTAAATGAAACTTTTCCAATATATTTTTTCTTTTTTTTTTATCTTTAATTTTTATCACAAAAATAATTCCTCAGATTACCATTTACACGTGTATATGAAATTTATAGTCGGATAAAAAAAAATGAGATTATAAAAGATGATTATTCGATTCGTAACAATATTTCTTTTCATCGTCAACGAAATTCATCATACCTCATTCGTTCTCCCTACTTGAAGCATAATCGGATTAAATCCTCACGAGGAGAGTTATCCTAAATCCATTTTCGTTTCCATCTATGGAACAGGATTGTCAACTCTTCAGGATTAATAATCGGATGACTAACGTTTCTCCAATGATATTCTACAAAGAAATATCGTGACAATAACTAATCGTGGTTAAAAAAATTAAATCACGTTTTAAATGAAATCGTGAAAATTGGCGATGAGGAGTTTCGTTATTGACGTAGAGGTGAAAATAAATTCACTTCGAAATTGCGACGATTGAAAATAAATTGCTTTTCGGTTTGATATATAAAAAACACACACACAAAGAAAAAAAAATCAATCGTGGCATTTGGCCAACGCTAAAATTAATCCCATATTTCTTCCTTCTCATCTTTTCTCTCATCCCTGCGAAATAAAAAAAAAAATAGAAAAATTCGTTAGAAAAAGAATTGAAAAATATTGCAAATGAAAAAAAACATATGTTAATAGAAATTACACTTCGGAAAGAAAAGAAAAATATAAAAATTTGTTAAAAAAATAATTGAAATCAGTTGTAAATGAAGAAATATAAAATAAAATAAATAAAAAATTGATAGGGAAGGGGGGGGGATTTGGTTGTTTTGTATAGTCGAAAGATGAAAGTAATATAATAGTATATAATAGTTAGTAGAATCTTCGTCATCCAACATGAAGATGAAAATCGAAAAGGTTCAAGTTGTGTTTAGTGAAAGACACCGCGCCGTCTGCCTCAGAGGATTCCAAATCCTGGTTTTCTGCCAACACTCGATTTCTTGGCTCGTGTATCCTCTCTCTTTCTCATTTTCATCTCTCGGTTTTGCAAAGTGTTCACTCTCATCTCGGAAAGTCGTTCGTGCACGCGTGCCATAACGCGTCTTAAACTGGGAGACTCGTTTGATAAGTGTAACCGAGTTAAATTAGCTTGGCCGTTCACGAGGAAGTAACCAACCAAAGACGCGATTTATTATTTACATACACACCACTCATACATTCTGACTTTTACCGGAAGTGCACGAGCTTGACGAAAAAAAGAAAAGTCCTTCTCAAGTCACCAAAAAAAAAAGATTATGTAAAATTATGATCAATTTTATATACCGTTTTCGTTGGATTTTAACTTAACTATAGAAAGATGAATAATTGTTTATATTATATATTTAAATATACCGAGTGTCTCATACGATATAGATAGTTTATTTTGAAAATGGGTAAAAGTCCATTTTACGTGTTGTTATTTTAAATTGGACAAATTATGTACATTTTTTAAGAAATTCAATACTAACTAATTATAAATAAAAAGTTTATATTAAATTAAGCATAAATTACATAATATCTCTTTTTGTTTTCAATAAATTTACACCATTTTTAAAATAAACGGTTCATATTATTATATCGTAAAATTATAATATTATTAATTATATTTATTGATAGTTTTAAAAATGGTAAGATAACAATTTGAAGGAATATAATTGAAGGATTAAAATGTACCCCACATCTGTCGTATAAGAGGACATATTATGTTATACAATTTCATATGAATATTTTTGTTTTCTTTTGTATTCTCTAGTTGATTTTGATCGAAAAGAATTTTTTTTTTGTAGGGAATAAGTTTTGTCAGAGTTACAGGAGAAGTAGGATGCCTGAAGGCATCTAGGAACTAAGGAGCACGCTCGTTACAAAGAGAATCGCCTTCATTACTCGAGAAAGTCCGAAGAAACGTATTATCGTAGGTACTGGGTGGTCCAGGAACGTCCATTTTACGAGCTCGAATGAATTTCTCCTGGGGAGTCCTCATACGTGACTCAATCCTTCAGGAATCCCTTTTTCTAGGTCAACTTTTCAAACAATCATTGATTTTCTTTTCCTTTTTTTACGATATTAATAAAATATAATCAC